GTTCTGGCAAACAGCGCCCTCTATGGTTGTTCAATTACCTTTTTTTTTTTGCAGAATGTGATATAGAAGTTGAAATTTGTCATAATACAATAATAAACCGTGTCCAAACTATTTTTTATTAAAAACCTGATAGAATAGTATTCAGAAATAGTAACTTGTCAAGATTTATTGTTTATATATAACACTATAGAGTCATTTTAATGCTCATTGATACATAGAAGTACCAACAGTAATGTGGGGCACAAAATAACTTTTACCAGTAGTTTTTTTGTCAGCAACAATTAGAGATATTTTGAATTAACAAAATTGCAGATTGGCTAAACTGGCTAAAATAACATACTACCCCCGGTAGCTAAATGATACGTTTTACAGTATACCAAATAATGTTTTTTCTGTTTAATTTCAGGCAAGATTTGTGCAGAATGTGACGTCATGGCAAGTGAAAAAACCTGCATTTTATCATGGCCATATTGCATTTTTAGATTTTGCCAGGTAAATTTACTATTTACTGGTAGTTTAAAACACATCCATGGTGTGGAGAGCTCCACCATGTGGCAGGTTTACATAAAATTTAATATTGATAGTTTTATAATGATTTATTTCTGTAAGTGATCATAAATTTATGGTAACATTAAAGCGGGGGAGTCGTCACCTGCGCATACCATTATTTACAAACAAGCATCTACCCATGAGCCTTTGCATTTTATATGTTTATTGATTTGTTATTTCTTTCCTCAACAGGTTTGGAGTAGTTCAAAAACCATTGTATATAAATATCATAAGGGAGCCACTAGCCCGACTAGTCTCATATTATTATTTTGTAAGATATGGTGATGATTTCAGGCCACATCTTAAAAGGAGGAGATCAGGTGATTCACAGGTGAGTAATCAGGTGACTGTCACATGACCTGACATATAGATTGTATAATTATGTATAGAATATTTTATGTAATGAGTATATTAATCCGAATCTTTCCAAGTGCCTATGGGTCTGTTTTTACTTTGATGTGATTATGATTTAAAAGTATGGAACAGGTTGGCATGGTATGATGCACTATTTAGTCCCCGTTCGGACATAGTCCGAAAACAGGGACTTGTGGTTTGCCCTGTGTGCGTCCGTGTGTCTGTGCGTCCGTGCGTCCGTGATCACGAACAACCATGGACCGATTAAGTTCAAACTTCACTCATACATCACACATTATATGGGACATATGCACATGCATTTTTTCATGATCCGATTAACGATAGCCGAATAGCGGCCATTTTAATGCCGAAAATGCATCAAAATCACGTATTTTCACAATTCCGGAACCGGATCTCAGTCATGCATGGATAGATTTTGTTCAGATTTAGTACAATGTGTTGTACATATGCAGGTGCATTTTGGATCAGACCACTGAAAGTGGTCTGAGATTTCGGTCATGATCTGCTTTAAATGTATATGTCACTCAAATATGAACGGAAGGGGGACGTGTCATTGACAATGACTTGTTCTGCGTTTAACTCCTACACACTATACACTTACAATTGAAAAAAAGTTAAATTTATTGCCTTGCATTATCACATGGTACAGAACATATTTACTTTACCTGACATGTGATAATGTCTTATCAGATTGCTTCATCTTACAGAGAATTCAGGTTCCATCTCTATGGTGTTGACTGTTAAAAAATGGCTTTCACAACAGCAAAAAAAGGGTGCAGCATCATTTTTTTTTTCAAAACACCTCAAAAACAAAAACTCCTTTCTTTTTTGTAGAGTTGTTTTTTTCTGTCTACCTGAAATCAGTCAACCTAAATGTACACAACTGTTATTATGTTTTAATACAAATGTAACATGACCTGGTCTATATATCTATATGTGTTGAACATTTCCCAATGTGCTATGCACAAAACAAGGAAAATGTTTTAAATTCACATGCATTGCACATGACATACTGGTATAAATCTAACCGATTATTACTTTGTTATTTAGACATTTGATGACTGTGTAATGAAAGATGAAACGGAATGTCAGCCTGAAAAAATTTGGTTACAAGTTCCATTTTTCTGTGGTCAATCACAGGAATGCTGGTATGTATACTTGTGTAACACTTGTTACTTTGATCTGCTGTAAACGACTTGAAAAATCAGTAAATAATGGTGACATGGAATATGCTAAAAAGTAACCAAGATTGGGCTGAAAATGATAAAAGGAAGCAGGACTATATTTGCTGTCCAACCAAACTGATGTTCCAAGAGTAGAGGTCATTAAACTGATTGATGTCAGTCTCCTTCCAACATGGTCAAGAAAACATGAAATAATTTCCTGAATATTGATATATTTGATATTGTCGTCATATTAAGACATTTCAACATTATTATTTATGTGAATTGTTTATATGAAATTAAATTGATAAATAAATGTAATTTGGTTTTACTGGCAGTTGTTAGATCCGATCATAAAATACACTTACATGTACTTTAGGTCTTTCTATGATTTCTCATCATTGTGAGAAACTTAGTGCATTCACCTACCCTTTTTTCACAATCTGACCACTGAAAACTTTTATTTCAGGCGCCCTGGCAGTCAATGGGCACTTGAACAAGCCAAGAATAATCTTGTTCAACACTATTTCCTGGTTGGTGTTACTGAACAGTTGGATGAATTTATTGGTGTTTTGGAGGCCAGTTTGTCGACTATGTTCCGTGGTGCATCTGAGCGGTTTCAGACAGGTAGGATTAATTACATATGTCGACAATAGAAATAATAGGAATCTATAACTGCAGCAAACTTCAAAGGAAAGGAACTAATGTTGCATGAAACGCTTGTTGTGCTTTATGTGTTAATTTACCAGTGTTTGGTTAAGCACCTACTGTATCTCAGTGTTTGGTTAAGCACCTACTGTATCTCAGTGTTTGGTTAAGCACCTACTGTATCTCAGTGTTTGGTTAAGCACCTACTGTATCGCAGTGTTTGGTTAAGCACCTACTGTATCTCAGTGTTTGGTTAAGCACCTACTGTATCTCAGTGTTTGGTTAAGCACCTACTGTATCTCAGTGTTTGGTTAAGCACCTACTGTATCTCAGTGTTTGGTTAAGCACCTACTGTATCTCAGATGGTTAACCACCAGACTTTCTCACCCAAATTTGTCTGCACTTTTTACATATATTCTTCAATATTTCGGGAAATGAAACCCAATTTTGGAGTCAATAGACACAATTTTACTACATTTTCAGTTGTTACTCAAAAAAATTGGTTATTTTTGTCCCAATATTCTGAAAGGAAAGGGCAGACTATAAACTATGGACTATTTTGTGAATTTGTGATGAAAAGAGGGAACTGTTGGTGAGAAGTGTATTTTTGAGATCAAAA